ATTTGGGAGGTTTTGATCCTCCTCCAGCTTGTTTCCGAGAAACCTGGTTAGATGGTCAATTGCCGGAGCCACGATTGACGATCTTGGACTCGACAGAGCCCAGCAACGTTGCTTAAGGCAGGGTTTGTCAGCTCACAGCCACTTTAAGACTTCAACTCCCAGAATTCCCCAGTCATCACAGTTGGACTTCAGCTTCCAGAATTCCCCAGTCGTCATAGTTGGACTTCAACTCCCAGAATTCCCCAGTGAACATGGCTGGACTTCAGCTCCCAGAATTCCCCAGTCATCACGGTTGGACTTCAACTCCCAGAATTCCCCAGTCATCATAGTTGGACTTCAACTCCCAGAATTCCCCAGTCATCATAGTTGGACTTCAACTCCCAGAATTCCCCAGTCAACATGGCTGGACTTCAGCTCCCAGAATTCCCCAGTCATCACGGTTGGACTTCAGCTCCCAGAATTCCCCAGTCATCACGGTTGGACTTCAACTCCCAGAATTCCCCAGTCATCATAGTTGGACTTCAGCTCCCAGAATTCCCCAGTGAACATGGCTGGACTTCAGCTCCCAGAATTCCTCATCCCCCTCAGCTTTCTAAAGCACACCGGGCTTCTGATGTTTTGCAGAGGAAGAGGCAGGCACACATAAATTCCATTTTTATTTCTTGTTTTTTAAAAAATCTGGAGTTTTGTCCTGTCTGGGAAGAGGCAAACATTGGTCAAATCTCTAGTTTGCAGGGAAGGCAAGAGGGTTGAGCTGAGCTTTGGAGGAGAACTTTGACTTTGTTGCCACTTTGGAAATTGTCTGTGCCAGATGCTGGGTGAAGATGGTTGGACTCCAACTCCCAGAATTCCCCAGCCAGCCTGCTTCTAGATGGGTGGACATGCTGCCTGGAGAATTCTGGGAGTTGAAGTCCACCTCTTTCCAAATGGCCAAGGTTGAAGAGACCCACATATGTGCAGCAACCTGAATGCAAATTCTAACCGTGAAGCTTGGCCACTTGAAAAAAGGGGGGGAAAAGGGAAGATTTCCTGAGGCCGCCACACGAGGGCGCTCAAACCCCGAGAAACAAGCTTCTCTTAGCTTAAGCTGCCGACGCGCCGGCCGGGCGCCCTTGTGCTCTCTATGGTGGTCCGGCGCCGATTCCTGTCCCCCTCGCCGCTTCCGGGAAGAAGCGCCGCGGCCTGCCATGGCCATCCAGGGGCGCGTCGCTAAGGCGGTGGGCACCGGGGTGGGCATCTTCGTCGGGGCGCTGTTGGTCTTCCAGGTCTGGCCGTCCGACGAGATGCGCTCGGCGAAGATCAGCAAGGTGAGGAAATAGCCCCAGGCCGCTTCCTGCCGTTGCCGCTTTAAAACATGAGGACTAGCGCCTTGCATAAAGAGCCTACTCCGAATAATGAGGACTAGCGCCTTGCATAAAGTCCTCATGTGGACTAGCGCCTTGCATAAAGTCCTCATGAGGACTAGCGCCTTGCATAAAGAGCCTACTCCGAATAATGAGGACTAGCGCCTTGCATAAAGTTCTCATGAGGACTAGCGCCTTGCATAAGACCTGAATCATGAGGACTAGCGTCTTGCATAAGACCTGAATCATGAGGACTAGCGCCTTGCATAAAGACCACTGAATCATGAGGGCCTTGTTCTGAATGATGAGGACTAGCGCCTTGCATAAAACCTTGTTCTGAATTATGAGGATTAGCGCCTTACATAAGACATGAATCATGAGGACTAGCGCCTTGCATAAAGACCCTACTCTGAATCATGAGGACCTTGTTCTGAATAATGAGGACTAGCGCCTTGCATAAAGTCCTCATGAGGACTAGCGCCTTGCATAAGGCGTGAATCATGAGGACTAGTGCCTTGCATAAAGACCCTACTCTGAATCATGACCTTGTTCTGAATCATGAGGACTAGCACCTTGCATAAAGATTAGCCTGAATAATGAGGACTAGCACCTTGCATATAGACCCTGTGCAGAATCACGCGGATTAGTGCCTTGTGTAAGTGCCCAGTTGTGAATCATGAGGACTACCAGTGCCTTAAATACGCACTCAGAAATACCAGCCTTTTATTTGTTTATGTATTGATTAGACTTTTTATTTCATTCGTTAAGATTTGTTTGCTTCGCTTATTATTAGATTCTGATTTCATTTGTTTATTTGATTTTTATGTAGTAAATCCGTATCTTGTATCCAGCTCTTTGCTTGTATAAGTCTCATGCTCGGTGTGCGTAATAAATGAAATTTAGATTTTTTTTACCTCCTGTTTTTTGAGTTATATATATAACTCAAGATGGCAAGCCTAGCTGATTACTCCTTCCTCCTGTTTTCCCCACGACAACCCTGTGAGGTGGGTTGGGCTGAGAGGGTGACTAGCTCAATGTAACCCAGACGGCTTTCATGATTAAATGAAACTTTCATGATCCTGGCAAAACTAGGACTCAAGAGTCTAGGCCGGTACCTTCACCACTACACCAAACTTGTCATTTTAGATCACAAGGACTAGCATCTTAAATAGGATTCTACTCCAAAACACCTTAAATAACATAGCCCATGCAGAACCACAAGGCTTAGCCTCTCAAAGAAGATCATTTTTTTAAAAAAATATTTCAGACCCATGAGGACTAGAATCTTTTCTGACTGGTTAGGTCTTAGGAGAAGAGATGTGGCTCAGATCACAAAGGACAAATAGGTTTTTTTCCCACCTCAGGTGATACTCAGATCCACAAAAACGGGGATGCCCAAAAACCTTGTTTTGCCTTCCTCACGTCTTCATTCTCCATGCAGGAATTCCGGGAATCCAGTCAGAATTATTCGGACTCACAACGACAGAACGCTTTGATAATGGAAGTCCTTAAAGAGGCCGCCACGACAGATGAGAATTGGGCTCGGAAATCTTTCTCTTCCAAAAAGTAGCAACGGCTGTGACTCGAAAGAGGCCTTGGACTGCAGAAGTGTCGTGACTCTGTAATGAAAATCACTTTTCATTTTTTCCCTTCGACCCGTTTATTCCTCAGGGTCCGTCTATGGCTTGCTTGGTAAGCTGTCTTCATAAATGAAAAAGTGGCACTTTGGAGTGTTGTTCTGTGTATGTTTCACGCCTGGCAAAATCGAAAAACGGACCTTAGAAAAACGCACGTCCTTAGGGCAGCCCAACGTGGCCATCGTTGTGCGTTTGTCTTTGAATTCACACATCATGCCGCAAGAAAAAACGGTTTGCCTGCTGCTAGCTTAAGTGTCTGGTTCGTCCTGAAAATTTTTATTTTATTAAAATTTATATGTCGCCTAGAAGGTGACTCTAGACAGCTTAAGTAAAACAAGTAAAAGCAACAAGATAAAATATGAAGAGATATTAAATATTAACATCAGTTGGTCTGGAAACTGGTAGAGAGACGCTCAAGAACAAAAGTGCAAAAGAAGTTTATGGTGGAAAAACTTTAGAAGGCATTTACTAGCTGCAGTTTGACTATCTGTGTATTTATAAATATATAGTGGCTCGTGTTTTTATGTAAGGCACTTACCAAGTTAATTGTCACAGCTGTGCTGTAGGAACTTATTTATATATTTATAAATATATAGTTATTGATAGGTGGCTTAGCTGGTTAATTATTTTAAATGCAGTTTAATAACTAACACTGCTAATATACATATATGGGAAGGAAGGAAGGAAGATGGTTAGATAGGTGGATAGGAAGGGAGACGGAAAGGAGAAGAAAGGGCAAGAGGAGAGGAAAGGAAAGGAGGGAAGGGAAGGAAGGAAAAGAGATGGGAGAAAGGGAAGGAGGAGAGAGGAAGGGAAGGGGAGAAGAAAGGAAGGAAAAGATGGGGAAAAGGGAGAGAAAGAAGGAAAGGAAGAGGAAGGTGAGAAGGAAGGAAAGGAAGAGGGAGAGAAGGAAGGAAAGGAAAAGGGAGAAGGAAGGAAGGAGCAAGGAAGAAAAGAAAAAAGGAAGGAAAACATGGGAGAAAGGGAGAGAAGGAAGGAAAGGAAAAGAGAAGGAAGGAAGGAGCAAGGAAGAAAAAAGAGGAAGAAAGGAAGGAAAAGATGGGAGAAAGGGAGAGAAGGAAGGAAAGGAAAAGGTAGAGAAGAAAGGAGCAAGGAGGAAAAGGAAAAGGGAGAGGAAGAAAGGAAGGAAAAGGTGGGAGAAAGGGAGAGAAGGAAGGAAAGGAAAAGAAGGAGAGAAGAAAGGAGCAAGGAGGAAAAGGGAGAGGAAGAAAGGAAGGAAAAGATGGGGAAAAGGGAGAGAAGGAAGAAAGGAAGAGGAGGGAGAGAAGGAAGGAAAGGAAAAGGGAGAAGGAAGGAAGGAAGGAAAAGATGGGAGAAAGGGAGAGAAGGAAGAAAAGGAAAAGGGAGAGAAAGAAGGAAAGGTAAAGAAGGAAGGAGCAAGGAAGAAAAGAAAAAGAAAGGAAGGAAAACATGGGAGAAAGGGAGGGAAGGAAGGAAAAGAAAAGAGAGAAGGAAGGAAAGGAAAGGGGAGAAGGAAGGAAGGAGCAAGGAGGAAAAGGAAAAGGGAGAGGAAGAAAGGAAGGAAAAGATGGGAGAAAGTGAGAGAAGGAAGGAAAGGAAAAGGAGAGAAGGAAGGAAGGAGCAGGGGGGAAAAAGGAAAGGAAAGAACATGGGGGAAAGGAAGCAAAAGATGAAAAAATAAAGAGATGATTTCACCTCGGGGGAACTTTTAAGAAGCCCATATTTTAGGAGGTAGATTTAGAACAAAAGACCAATGAAATCTGGAAGATGCAGCCATTGATCGCCGGTGGGAAAGAAACGCAGCTCAGGAATTTAAAGATTATTTTTTTTTATCATCCAAGGAAAATAACACAAAATATTGCAAAACGGCCTCGTTTTGTTTCCTCTTTTATTTCCCCCCCAAGCGGAACCTAAGCATAAGGAACCTTGTTGCCCCCGCCGGACGTTTATAGAAGGCGGACGTCTCTCTTTTTTTTTTCCCTTCCCTTTTCCTCTCAAGGCGACCTTTCCGCGCTTCCGGCGGCCCGGCAAGAGCGGCTTCCGGCGCGGAGGCGGCCATCTTTTCTCGGCGGGAAGATGGCGACCCAGCCCTCCGGAGGCGGCGTGGTGGCGGGGTCTTCCGCGGCGCCCCCCAAAAAGTCCTCCTTCTGGTCCTGCTTCAGCTGCCGAATGGTGGCCGGCAGCGGGCTGTTGGCCGCGGGGCTCTGGGTCCACCTGGGAACCCGCCAGTCCTTGAGAGGTTCCAGGCCCGGGAACCTCTATGACATCTTTCGGATAGTTTTCGCCATCGGTAAAGGGGGGGGGGGGGGGATTTCCCCGGGGGGGGGGGGGGGGTGTAGATTCGGACGTGCAAGGTTAGACACGTGTATTGCATGTGCCTTGCAGAGTGGAGGTCATTTTTTCCTCCCCCCGCGCGCGCTTGGGAGTTTTTCGGGGGGTGCAGTGACGCAGCTGGGCCACCGGGGGGCAGCATTTCCCCACCTTAATCCTGAGCAAGAATGTATTAAAAGAATGGTTTTTTTTTTTTTAATTAATGGTTTTTTTAAAAAAAATAATAATGGGTTTTTTAAAAAAAAAATTAATGGGTTTTTTAAAAAAAAAATTAATGGGTTTTTTTAAAAAAAAATAATTTTATTGATTTATATCGATTTTCTTAGTGCTGTGAATAGGAAAATGCGTCGTATCAGAGAGCCTAAGTGTCTGAATCACGAGGACTAGCGCCTTTAAATGAGACTGCATTCAGAAATACCAAGCTATTGTTATTTATTGGTTTTGATTTTGTTTTTTTGTTTTTTTTATCCCTGCTTTATTACTTTATAAGGGACTCCAGGTGTCAAACGTACCTCACGCTTCTTTCTCCTGCTCTTTGGCCTTCATAACAACCCTGCGAGGTGGGGCTGGGCCAAGAGGGAAGGATTTTCCCCAAATCACCCAGATGTTTTTTTCCATGCCTATTTTTTTTTTTTTAATTTGATTTATATGCCGCCCTTCTCCGGAGACTCAGGGCGACTTACAATGTGCTCAGCAATAGCCTTCATCCTTTTGTATATTTGTACAAAGCTTATTGCCCCCACAATCTGGGTCCTCAATTTACCTACCTTAGAAAGGATGGAAGGCTGAGTCAACCTTGAGCCTTGGCGAGATTCGAACCAGCAGAAATTGCAGGCAGCTGTGTTAATGACAGGGTGCACTAAACCCCTGTACTATCAAGGCTCTAAAATGGCACTAGAATTCACCAGCTCCTGGGGGATCGGCCCATGAATCACCCAGCCGGCTTTCTGGACCAAGGTGCAGGACTAGAACTCGCCGTCTCCTAGTGTTTGGTGCAGAATCATGCAGCTGGCTTTCAAAGCTAAGGTGGAACTAGAACTCACAGTCTCCTGGTGATTGGCCCAGTCCAGTGGTGAAATTCAAATTTTTTTACTACCGGTTATGTGGGCGTGGCAGGGGAAGGACCAGCCAGAGGTGGTATTTGCCGGTTCTCCGAACTACTCAAAATTTCCGCTACCGGTTCTCCAGAACATGTCAGAACCAGCTGGATTTCACCTCTGGCCCAGTCACCCAATTGGCTTTCATGCCTAAACTGGGACTAGAACTGGTTTTCTGATTTCCAGCTTGGTACCTTCGCCACTATTCAACCTGGCCTGTAATAGTTTCAAATATATTATCTATATTTATTAATATATTATTGGATTGGATTTGTACTATCAAGCCACTCTGGGCAGCCCTAATAATCCTCCATTTTTGGAATTCTATTCTTATTCTATTCATTCTATTCTATTCCATTCTAGTCTTTATTTCTATTCTATTCCATTCTAGTCTTTATTATTTCTATAGGAGCTGCGGTGGCGCAGTGGTTAAGAATGCAGTCCTGCAGGCTATTTCTGCTGACTGCCAGCTCCCTGCAATTTGGCGGTTCGAATCTCACCAGCCTCAAGGTTAACCCAGCCTTCCAAGGTCGGTAAAATGAGGACCCAGATTGTTGGAGGGCAAGAGGCTGACTCTGTAAACCGTTTAGAGGGCTGTAAAGTACTGTGAAGTCTCTTGCTATCTTCCTTCCTGTTAGAATGCAGCATTGCAAGCTAACTCTGCCCACAGCCAGGAAGTTCGATCCTGACCAGCTCAAGGTTGACTCAGTCTTCCGTCCTTCTGAGGTCATTAAAATGAGGACCCGGTTGGGGGGGGCAAGAGGCTGACTGTGTAAATTGCTTAGAGAGGGCTGTAAAAGCACTGTGAAGCGGTATAGAAGTCATTCTAATTCTAATTCTTTTATTTCTATTTTATTCATTTGATTCTTTTTGCCTTCTGCAGTCTCACACAGAAGAACTTGGTTGTGCCTTTGCCAACTATGATTTTTTTGTCTCTGTCCAGGCCTTTACTCGGGGGCGATCGTAGTCATCCTGGATCCCGTCCAGCCGAAGTAGGACGGGGAAGACGTCCTTCATCGGCGGAGGCTTCCCAAGTTCTACCTGGAGGCAACCCAGAGTGCGGCAGGAATGGGGGGGATGAAATCTTTCATTTTGAAGATTGGGGGAATGTCCTGCGATCCATTAAGACAGGACAGAAACGTTGCGGCTTTCGATCTTCCGCGCAAAATGGCTGCTGTCGTTGCGCGAGTTTTTTCCCCCCGTGTCAAAACAAGTCAGTTACGATGACGACACTTCGGGACGATCGTCTCTTAAGTAAGGAACGTGGACCTGATTGCGTTCGGTAAACGGAATAAGCTACCTTGCCAATTACGTTGTAGTTAAAATCATGCTTGTTGGGTGAAGGGGGGAGAGAAAAAAAATCCCTCTTAATTTTGCTGTGTGTGTTTTCTGTCTCTTTTCTCTCCTTGCTCGGTCCCGTAAAACTGATCCTCACTTAAAAAACACGGTCGCTAGCTTTGAACCCCAAATTTCCCCCGTGGATAATTTGCAATTTCAGCTCCCTGGGGATATTGTGTGTTACGGGAAAACATCATTTGGGCACATCCGGATTCTGCACATTTTCAGTTACAATCCAGTCTCCTCCTTCCGAGGCAGTCTACCTCACAATCAGGGTGGATTTGATTTAAATCGAGTTGATTTAAATCACGATTTAAATCATGATTTAAATGACTAGTAAAAAGGCTTGATTTAAATCAACTCGATTTAAATCATAATTTTTAAAGAGCAACTGTCATCTCTGCTACTCCTTTGACCCACTGTTGACTCACCGATAGTCCCAGTGTTGCAGAATAGACAGCCTCATGCTACATAACTAAGCTCAATTTCATGCTGAATAAACTAAATTATTTATCTATCTTAAATAGAAAACTATCTTACGATAGATTTTGACCCCAAAAGTTTTTTATTAAAATAAATTCGATTTAAATCAAAAAAATCCGATTTAAATTAAAAAAAAAATCAGATTTTTTTTTTAAAAAAAAATCATTGATTTTTATCCACCCTGCTCACAATGCTGGATTGCTGGAGGGAGGGACTGTCCCGCTGGGCTGACCAGATCCTGCGCTCGTTTCCTCCGGCGAGAAATAAAACCACAAATGGCACACCAGGGTGAAGAGGTTTTATTCGGGGCTGGCCTTGGGGGGGTATCCAGTTGCAAACGCTGGCTCCTCTCCAATTCTTCTACCCACATAATGTCTTGTTTTGGTACCCCTGGGTTAAAGGGCTGCTGTTTCAGAGTCTCTTGGGGGGAGGGAAGGAGGGGGGAGCTGGTGCGCTAGGGTGGCACCCAGTAACTACAGGGCTAGGTCAGCCTCCAACAACCGGCGCGAAGGAGGGAAAGCCACAACCGACCGTCCACAAGCGAAGAGAGCGCCACTCAGCTGTTCCCCTTCTTGGCCACTATCAACACCGCGGAAGGCACCAAGCCTGGAGAAAGGGGGGGGGAAGGGGAGGGCGTGGAGAGAGAGAGAGAGAAAAAAAATGAACGGAAGAAAGCAGAATTTCTCAATCTCGGCAACGTTTCGATGGACTTTAATTCCCAGAATCCCCCTCCTCGGATGGAATGCTGAGGAGGTTGCGAATCCAGGCTTGCTCAGAATAGAATAAATAATGAATAGAGTAGAAGAATATAAGAATAGAAATAGAATTAATAGAATAATAGAATTAGAATTAAAATAGAAATAGAAGAATAAGAATAGAAAGAATTAATAGAATAGGAATAGAAGAAGAAATAGAAATAAAATACGAATAGAAAAAGAATGAAATAGAATAATATTACTAATACCGTTTCCCCCCCAAAATAAGACATTATCCCCTGATAATAAGCCCAATTGGGCTTTTGAGGACATGGCAAAAAGCCCACGCGCTTATTTCAGGGTTCAAAAAAATATAAGAGGGTCTTATTTTCGGGGAAACGTTGCTTTCTTATAATATTATAAATAATATAAGAATAGAAAAAATTAATAGAATAAGAGAAATTTATTTATTTTTTATTTATTTGATTTGATTTCTATACCGCCCTACTCCCGAAGGACTCAAGGCGGTGAACAGCCAACAATAAAATCCATACATACAAAATTTAAAAGCAGAATTAAAATCAAATTAAATAGTTTTGGCCCAGACAAATTAAAACCCCAATCAATTTAAAACCAATTTTAAAATTTGAATATATAAAATACTAAAAAAATATTAAAAATTAGAAATTATTTTATAAAAGAGGGAGAAAATAGAATTAAAATAGAAAGAGAAGAATAAGAATAGAAAGAATTAATAGAATAGGAATAGAAGAAGAAATAGAAATAAAATACGAATAGAAATAGAATAATGGAATAGAGTAATATTACTAGTACCCTGTTTTCTCCCAAATAAGTCATCTCCTGATAAGCAGCCCAATCGCGCTTTTGAGGGTTCAAAAAAAAATATAAGACGGGGTCTTATTTTTGGGGAAACACGGTATTTATTCTATTCTTATAATATTATAAATAATAGAAGAATAGAAATAGAATTAATAGAATAGAAATAGAATTAAAATAGAAATAGAATAGAATAAGAATAGAAAGAATTTATAGAATTAGAATAGAACAGAGAATAGAATAATAACTTTATTGACGCTTTGAATGTACACTAATTGGCATATATTAAAAATGACATACAACTTGTTGCATACAGCTCTTAAAGGGTCACAACCTCCAATTTTACACTACATAAATATGACAAGATAAATAAATGCAAAATTATGTATATACCCACATATATCATATGACACGGAGAAACCGTCTAGTTCGGATGTATATACGTGTTTATGGCAAGAAAAACGAATCTTGCGAGTTTACCAGACGGTTGGCCTAGGGGGACAAAGCTGTTACGGAATCGGGTGGTTGTGCTAGAGAGACTTCGAAATCTCCTCCCAGAGGGGAGCAACAGAACGAGGCCGTAAAGTGGGGTGTGTGGAGTCTCTAAGCACATTGCTCTTATAAGCAGGATCCTGAATAAAGGGAAGCAAGCTTCCTATGATCTCCACTGTCCTCACCACTCTCTGTAGGGGCTTTCTATCTAAGGCACTGCTGCCACCAAGCTAGACAGGGATGCACTTTGTTACAACGCTCTCAATCGTGCCTCTCTTAAAACATCGTTATGCTTTGAGATTCCTGGCATTTAGGAACGAGGCAAAAGCATTGGAGGCCCCCCCCCCCGCTCCACTTCGACCCCCAAACTCACCCAACTCCTGCAGGGGCTTTTCCATGTCTTCCTCAGTGAAAACCCGCCGGGGGAAACTCGTCAGGAGGTGAAAAGGATCTTCGCCGCCATCTTTGCGGTTCAGCTCCACGTACAGCCGCACGGCTGCCAGTTGTTCCTTGGCTTTGAAGGTGTGAGTCAGAGAGGTGCCATCCAGGAGTCTCACCTGCCCGGAGCAAAATCAAATCCTCATTGACAGGTGGTCCTCGACTTAACGACCAAAACTGAGGCCAACGTTTCTGTTGCTAAGCGAGAGGGTGGTTAAGTGAGTTTTGAGCCCTTTTTTTTACGACCGTCCTCGCCAGACACTTGTTAAGGGAATCACCGCAGTTGTTAAGTTAGTCATGCGGCCGTTAAGCGAATCCGGCTTCCCCATTAACTTAGCTGGTCAGAAGGTCGCAAAAGAGAGACTGCAACCATTGTAAATACAAGTCAGTTGCCAAGTGACTGAATTTTTGGATCACGTGACGGTGAGATGCTGCAACCATCGTGCGAGAAACAAGCCATATTTAATATTTTTTCCGGTGCCGTTGTAGCTTCAAACAGTCACTAAGCGAAGGGTTGTAAGTCGAGGACTTACAAAAGCCAGCTTTTCCTTGTTCTCCATTCCAGATTTTACTGCATCGCAACTAAGAGCTGGTCTACCCAAAGGAGTTCAACGCAGGAGGTTTTTCACGCCGTCAAACTTACTAGCGCCTTACCTGAATCTTGCACTGGTCGTATTCTCGCTTGACGGGGAACTCCTGGCTGGGGGAGGAGATTAGCACGGGCTCCATCTGGTCGGGCAGGGGGGAGGCCTGGGTGGCGCTACTGCAGCCGAACTAGGGGGCAAAAACCAGGAAGGTGAGCAAAAGTCGCCCGCCAAGCTGTGCAATGCGTATTAAACCAGCGTTTCTCGTGCTCGGTAACCTTTGAGATGGGTGGACTTCAACTCCCAGAATTCCCCAGCTAGGATGAGGGAGGGAGGGATAGGATAAGATAGGATAGGAAAGAAGGGAAGGAAGATAGAAGGGAAGGGAAGGGAAGGAAGAAAGGAGAAAGGAAAGGAAAGGAAAGAAAAGGAAAGAAAGGAAAAGAAGATAGAAGAAAGGAAAGGAAGATAGAAGGAAGGGAAGGGAAGGAAAGGAGAAAGGAAAGGAAAGGAAAGAAAAGGAAAGAAAGGAAAAGAAGATAGAAGAAAGGAAAGGAAGATAGAAGGAAGGGAAGGGAAGGAAAGGAGAAAGGAAAGGAAAGGAAAGAAAAGGAAAGAAAGGAAAAGAAGATAGAAGAAAGGAAAGGAAGATAGAAGGGAAGGGAAGGGAAGGAAAGGAGAAAGGAAAGGAAAGGAAAGGAAAGAAAAGAAAAGGAAAGAAAGGAAAAGAAGATAGAAGAAAGGAAAGGAAGATAGAAGGAAGGGAAGGGAAGGAAAGGAGAAAGGAAAGGAAAGGAAAGAAAAAAGGAAAGAAAGGAAAAGAAGATAGAAGAAAGGAAAGGAAGATAGAAGGAAGGGAAGGGAAGGAAAGAAGAAAGGAAAGGAAAGGAAAAAGGAAAGAAAAGAAAAGAGGAAAAGAAGATAGAAGAAAGGAAAGGAAGACAGAAGGAAGGGAAGGGAAGGAAAGAAGAAAGGAAAGGAAAGGAAAGAAAAAAGGAAAGAAAAGGAAAGAAAGGAAAAGAAGATAGAAGAAAGGAAGAGGAGAAGGAAGGGAGGGAGGGAGGAAGGAAGGAAGAGGAAAGGAAGGAGGAGAGGATGAGGGAAGGAAGGAACACAGGAACGGGGAAAAAAAGAGGGAGGAAGGATTGAGAGAGGAACGAAGAAAGGAGGAGAGGATGAGGGAGGGAGGGAAGGAAGGAAGAAGGAAGGAAGGGGGAAGAAAAGAGAGATAGGAAAGATTGACAGAGGAAGGAAGGAAAGAAAGAGAGAAGAGAAGAGAAGATGGCTGAAGAAAGAAAACACGAAGGGCAACCTTAGTCTAAATGATAAAAATTAAACCCCTTTTTACTTTCTCACCTTCTTGGCTCGCTCGGCCTTGTCGCGTTCAATCTTCTCCCGCACTCGCTGCCTGAAAAAAGGAACCGGGGGGGGGGGGGGGGGGGAGGGGGGGAGGGGGGGTTAATGGTGGAAGGATCCCCTTCCTCACTCCAGTTTGGGGGGTGACGAAC